ACTTTATGAGCAACCATGTAATAGTTATCGTCATTAGACTTGGTGAATCCAATAATGCGTTCGTTGCGCCAGTCAAGCCATTTCTTATATCGTCTGAAGTTATTGTCATTGTTATTGTACTTTTGTGTTGGTAGTGAGTATATTCTAGCAAACTCACTCACAAGTGTTGCTGTACATTCTTCATCTCTTCCAAGCAATACCAGCGTTATCTTCGCATAGTAATTATGAATAGCGCAGTAGACGTTGTCAATCTGAGTTGGTTCAACGTTGGTGATTTCCTCGAAAGGAATCCGTCTCTGTCTTAAGTTGGCAATGGCTGGATTATTAACAGTTTCTGATGCCAACGACATAGTAACAGGCCGAGTTTAAAAGAATTTTTTTCAAGTTGAACAAATGTTCGCTCTTCAATACTTGCGTTACATCGCACATCCGCAGGTACATTGTTTCACGCATACCATTATAGCCCTTTTTATTTACCTGGGCGGGTAACTCTTATCATTTGTTACACAACGCAAGATACATTTACAACCATACTGCAATACCAAGTCAGACATCAACATTATTGTTTCGAGTTTATAGATTACGGTTTTGACGCAGAAAAATTTTAACCGATTATTACTGTTATGGACTACTTATGCAAAGGAAAGATTCTTTCAACTGTTGGGTTAGAATTGTTTGTTTTATTTTGCGAATAGCTTTAAACTAGCGGAAGAGCTCCAATTGTTTAACGCAGATATTTAATGAACAAACCAGTATTACACAATTCTTAGTTACATCACGGATCTCCCAGATTTTCTAATATCTCGCGAGCATGACAGCATAGTTTTGGAGCCAATCCTAGATCTGTCATCGAACGAAATTGCCCATAAACAAACATTTATAGTGAAGATAATCCTGAACATACTCCTGTATGAATTAAATAAGCACTTGTTTAGTACTTCGAACAAATATAAATTTGCATAATATTAATCCAAACCACTTTTTTAAAATTATATATGGGTGTTGAATCCTTTGTTGTAAGTTATGGGTCACTTATGAGTAAATATTGAAAACATTACTGATCTCCAGTGTTAGATTGCTTACACTCGGAGCATGATTCAAAGCACGCCGGTTACTTTTATGCGTTGGGACAAAGGAACCCAATTCCTTCATAACACTCAAAACTCTCACATTATGAAATACCTACCGCTAGTAGATGCGCCTTTTGGGAGACTTTCAGTTCAAAAACTGCTTTCATAACAGATCCAAGACTTCAGCACAGTCACAACCTGACGTGATTGACAGGGAATTATGTATAATAATAATAATACAATCCTAGTTTAATAAATCATGTGTCCAGCGCGAGTCCTTATAGTCACACGCGATGCTAATGAATTCGTAATGTGCTATTGGATGGACGCGTTTCAATACAATTCCTAATTGACGCTAGTCAAAATTTGTAAATGTCAAATAAAGTTTATTTGCAAGCCACCACTTTTTACATCCTACAGTACACGAAAAACATAGATTAAACTATGACTGCCCCGAAAATGTCCTACGATTTAGCTGTAGGATATCAATTCTTTAACAGTTCGACTATCGTTATAATTATCATAATATTGTCTGAATATTCGTTCATACCAGTGTTCTGTTACTTCCTCCTACAGAGTTGTCTTTCCCACCATTCCTTAAATTTCATAGGATTATCAAGAATAAGACTTTGGCTTGTTACCAATCGGCAATCGTGTGGACGCCGAGCTGTATTTGTTAATTACGGAAGAGATTTTAATTCAATAGAAAAAACTGTTATCTAAATGTGCCACACGGCTGCATATTATTTCATATTGAAAACGCACGAAATCGATATTAAACCTACCATCCGCCGCTGTTGTCGGATTAATGTGTTTAATTGATACACCAAGAAGTTCCGCAAAAATTGCACACATTTCGTACTTGGTAAATTGTTCCTCAGCACTAAAGTGAAATATACCATTGACATTCTGCTTTCCTTCGATACGTCTCACTATAGCAAAAGGTTAGCGTAAGGTTAATGTGATAAAATCACTTGATTAGCAGACTCGAATGATTTCAAGACCTTTCATTAGAAAATTACCTGCAATCTCGAGAATCGCTCTTGCTACATCTGCGACTGCATGACAAAAAATTATTAATGGGAATGCACGTACAATCAAATCCCATCTCTACAGGTTAAAAATTTGGTGTGGTTACCATGCGTTGGATATCGCTTCTGGAGATGGTCTACATTCTTAATCGTTGATGTATCCTAATAGAAATGAAGCGTAATTATTGCATGCATGCATGCCAGTCGATGATGAAACCGTCTACAATGCTTACACATACCATAACTGTCGATATTAATGTGTTAACGGCCGATTCCTCGGGGTTTTCTGCGGGTCCATAACTATAACGTGCGTGTTTGATGAAAACGAGTATTTACTGCTTACAAGCAACAATCTCATAAGGTCAGTGGCACTTAATTACAGTATTGGAATCCTCAGGATGGCTGAATCAATGTGAGTCTCGCGCATACGGTCTTCACCATGCATTTTAGTCTCACCTACGTAAACCAACACATTAAGACGTGCGTATTAATTGAGAATAGCAAGCAATTCCATGCCAGTAAGATATAGCATACCATATAAACTTAAAGGGTTTCTTGTAGCATTCTCTTGATATGGAGGATTCGTCCCGTCAAAAACATAATCAGTTGAGATATAGATCATGAATATATTCATATCCTTGGAAATCTTGGCAAGATGTTCTGTCGCGTTGACATTGAGCTGCACAGAAATAAGAATTTCTGAGAATCGTTCGTATCGATTTTACTATTAACACTATTTTTTCTCAATACACACAGCTTGCGCGGCTTGTGGATTCCTTTCAGCTACATCTGGTCGGCGTTCAGCAGCCGCATGAACGATTACTATAAACAATTACACATGTCAATAGTAGCCAGCTGCGCACGAAAAGACTCAATGATGTAACGGGTCTCTGACATATTTCTTCAGTTGGAGACATACCTTGTGGTTGATGTTGTTTTATAAATGCATCCACGGCTGCTTCATCCAACAGATCCAACTGCAAATCATTAGATACCATCCGTCAATATTATAATTGGAATACTCGACAAAATAACCGTTTCTCATACCTGATAAAGTCCATATTTTTCAGCTCTTGTTTTCGCAACTCCAATAACTGTTCGTCGAACGAACAAACAAATTGACTTGAGCAATTGCATCTAGAGAAGTAGGTCATAATCAATTGGTAGATACCTTCATGATGAGCATCATTAAATGCCTTGCAAACTGCGCGTCCAAGTAAACCTGAAGCTCCAGTAATTAATACTCGCATTATAAACCGTTTTCGAGAGAATGCGAACAAAATTTTCAGAGATAAACGCAACGACGAATCACCTGACGATCATCTAATGACATCATTATTCGTCTTCTTGTTCTAATACTAAACAAATCAATAATCATGAGGTCTAGGCTTTCCTTAATATTTATTTGAAGTGACTAATCAAAATCTTGGTATTCTCGCGGGGAGCAATAGTATAGGATCACGTTGGTTTTTCCAATACGATCATTATCTGTACCAAAAAAATTCAAATGAAAATTAATTCCTTACAATAAACTTTGATAAGATTTATCTTCCAGTAACAATCCCTACATTTCCAATACTAATACTCTTAACATTTGGGTAATGCTATATTTAATTGTGGCAAAAAGCAAGACTTTATTTAGCTCCTTGTAAGTTATTATTATAGGAAAAAATCTAACTTGGTTCATTATAGAATCGTGCAACGATTACTATTTACATTGTTGTTCAGTTGTGATGATTGAAACGATTTCAACATCGCTAATGAACGTGACTCCAATTCCAGCATAAATTTGTCTTTGTCTTCTGTTGAGAGTTCCTTTCTATTCTATAATTTGCGTTGTGAAAGGAAAGCCCAACAAGTTTTTCATTATTATCCAGTAGCAAAAGAATTTCCTCCCACTTGATTTTCTGCAATCTCAACATAGATGGAATATCTTCAATGAAGTAGACTCTCAACTCGTCATGATTTTCACAATCGACAGAGTAAAGATGAAGGGTGGATTGTTGTGGCCAAATTATCCTCGTCTGCTTTCCTCTTGTCGGAAGCCGGACTCACTGCCTTTATCTATATAATAATAAGCAGTCAGAAAAAAAGGTCATAGCACAAGAATCTTTAAACAATAAGACCAACCTCTTTGTACATTACGGGTGCTCCGGATATGAAGTTCTGAACATCAACCAAGTGACAAGTAAAACATCTGACGCATCAAATATCTCAACCGTAATTATCTTATTGTTGGGAACAATAATTAAAACAAATATGGTATCTACTCATTTTTTTTCATGTACCGTTTTGTTCATTAATTCTCATGAACGTGGCTTTGACGAGGTCGAGTCTACCATCCATCATCATGTTTTGTTTTCACGGCCTGTGGCGTGTTGCGTGTGGCGGTGGGCCATTCGTTAATGCAATTATCCACTTTTCTAGTGCTTTAATGACGAACTTTCGGAGGCTTTCACACATAGCCCTTTTCAAACTTTTCATTCGCATCGCATTAACTAATGAAAAGATCGACTATACGTTGACAATAATCATGAAGAACATTCGAACTCTCCATAAGATCGATTGAAGATATGTTCGCATCTCCATAATTTGTGTCAGTCCATAAACTATGAAATGACACATAAATATTGTATTAAGATCAAAGTAAGATAAAAGAAATGATAAAAATATTGATATTGTAAGAAACAAACGAAACACACAAAGCTTACCTTAAGTTGCTCGGGGATTGGATAAGCGCACGACAGACTTGCACACACCTTCTCAATTGTCTCTCCAGTATCGTTCATAACTCTCGAAGTAATATGTTACTACCGTCCAAGGGTTGGTTTCTTTATTGATCGCCACGCGAACCTGGAATCGGAACCCTTCTTTTGAACCATTATTATATTTGGGTTACTTCGACTCTCGCACTCCTGGATATCAACAGCTGTAGCGATTCACCGTAGCTGTGCCAATAAAGGATCCACTAAAGCACCAACTCCTCTATCGCTTTTGGAAAGTATTTTTTCCTAGAACACGTATATTGTAAGGTGAATGTCATTGAAACAGGTGTATACGCGATGCAACATCACGTTAAGTAGCCACAATCGTCAAGTCATATGACTAACTTATCACGGGGACTAACATATCATTACGGTGTCACGTTTTTGCCATCATGACACTGACGATGGTGTCGCCGAGGTGTCAAAAAAATGGATAATTACACACATCAACGTGTCAAGAAAAAACGGATGGCGACACATACCTGAGACCATTATAGTAACAAAAAACGGCTACTAAATGTTGTAGCTATGCATTGTATGTTGATCTGCCAAGATAGAGAGTCATAACGCAATGGTATGACAATTTGCGGATCATCTCAATCACAAGCCTGCCAATCATAAAATGCCAAAAAAAGATGAGAGAACCTTCTCGAATATTCCCGGCAAATAATTATTTAAAGTTTCGATTTCGATCTTTTGCTTTCTTGACTGAAGATCTAACGTATCTACAAAGACATTAACATAACAAAAATGACAGTACGAACATTCTTCGATATTGACATTGGTGGCAAACGAGCCGGAAGGATAGTCTTCGAGTTGGTATGTCTCCATGATTAAATTATTCGTGTGTACATGATTGAAAAGCACTGTAACAATTCACATTCATTCTCAAACTACGCGTGGATCAGTATACTGAGCAAGTACCCAAAACCGCAGAAAATTTCCGAGCATTATGTACAGGTAAGGTTTAGCCGTATTCTTTCTTGTAGGATGTCATTTTCTGATTTATGTGTCGTTGATACATGGCAATTGCTTCTCTAGGCGAGAAGGGCGTGGGAAAACTTGGAAAGCCATTACATTACAAAGGAAGTCTTTTCCATCGTATCATAAAGGTGAGTACGTGTGGTCGAAACCATCATCTTTTACGCCAATTTCTGATGCTAACCCATGATATCATCCCCCATTCATCTGCATTGTTCGAAATAGAATTTTATGTGTCAAGGCGGTGATTTTACCGCTGGTGACGGCACCGGTGGAGAGAGTATCTACGGAGAGAAGTTTGAAGGTACAGTTGTAACTGCGGTTTAAAAAGCAAAATCCGGGAAATGTACTAACTAGTGCGTACTTTATAGATGAGGCATTCGTATTCAAACATGATCGGACCATGTTATTGTCTATGGCAAATGCCGGACCAAACACAAATGGATCACAGTTCTTTATCACGACATCAAAGGTAAAGAATAAGAGAAATAGCGAAAGGAGATGATTATGATTAAATCAAAACGATAACTGTGCAATTAATCAATCTATTCAACAACTGCCTCTCCATCTCAATGTTCTTAATCTGACAGACACCACATTTAGATGATAAGCACGTAATTTTTGGAAAAGTAATCAAAGGGAAAAACTTGGTTCGTAAAATGGAGAGTATTCCAACGAATAGCGACCGCCCTGTTGAAGATGTTGTCATTGCTGATTGTGGAGAGCTTAAAGAAGGCGAGGATGATGGCGTTTTGCCACCGGCTGATGGAGACGTGTACGAGGATGTTCCGGGTAATGTTTGAAATGCTTGGTTACGACTGACGGCTTGCGTTAGTTGCGTGGTTAAACGCGTACTGATCTGAATTGCGCTTGTTGAATGTAGAGGACGCCGAAGTTGAATTAGAGACACAAACTTTATTCAATATCGCCACTTCAGTTAAGACGATTGGAAGCGACTACTTTAAAAAGGGAGATTATGCCACCGCAGCTGAGAAATATAACAAGGTAGGTTTGTTAAAATCGCAAGTTGTATCCACAGATCTCCTGACCTTTGCAATCTGGAGGAATTGATAAGGGGGACCAGCTACACCCTCTCTCGGTCGACCGCATTACTTATCATCTTTTGCCACACAGGCTATCCGTTATATAAACGAACTATCTGACGTTGAAGACGAATCCCTCACGACTCAACATAATGCCCTCAAGATTTCTTGTTATTTAAATAAGGCCGCAGCCGAACTCAAGATCTCTGACTATGAAGCGGTAGAAAAAGACACATCAACGGTGCTAGAAATGGAAGGGTTGACAGACACAGATAAAGCCAAAGCGTTGTATAGACTTGGCGTAGCGCGAGGGAAATTGGGTAAGACTGAAGAGGCCTTGCTAAATCTAGAAGAGGCGCAGAAGTTAAGTCCGAATGATCCGGGAATCGTAAAGGAGATTGCTGCAGTTAAGAAGAGAGTTGCGGAATTAAAGGCGAAGGAGAAACAGATGTATAGCAAGATGTTTTCGGCATTGAAATAGATTCTAATAAGAACAGCATATATAAATAAAGTGTTTTGTCGATGTTTGAAAACAAATAATTTACTCGAATGTATTACTATGTGGAACTTGTGCGAGCGGGTAAGCTGGAACTATTCACTACATTTCAAATGCGCTAATCTCACTTGATGTAAGCGGTTTTGGGAAAGGTAGAGTTAGTCTTGTTCTGGGGTCAGGTAATACTAAGGCTTTATAGATCGATTTAAACAAACACGTCACGTTAACTTCCGTTACATCATATTTTCACCGCCACGTCAGCCCCATTTTATCGAATACTCCAAGAGTACGTTTTTTATACTTGTTGCACTAACTATACTTGGTTAAGACTCGAAAAGACTTGCGTTTGTATCCACATCCAAATTAAAAAATTACCCTGATTATCATTACTATTATTCCAGAAGTGTTCGGCCGGCGGACCAAACAAATTCAATAGTTTTCAGCTGAAGCTGTGTTTTTATACAAAAACAGTAATTTTAATTTGTATCACTGGAAAACGATTTGCGACCATCATTTCTATTAGAGTGTCGCATCCATCGCGTCATTAGAGTTCATTGAACACTCTATCCTTGGCGTTACGCGCTCCCAAAATGTCAGAATTAGACTTTTATAATTCGACTGTTGATGTATACCGTACATGGAAAATTTACTGTCATACACGCACGAACTGCACATAATCCACGCATAAACCCTATGCACAATCCGTGCATTACATGTGTTTCCATACAGACTGCATACCATCGCTAATACTAATACACCCCCACGTTAAAAATTCCAATTTGATGAGAAAAAAGCATCAGTGAATAGCGACTGAATATCTTTGTCAGTAATACGGTTCTATGAATATGTCCATGTCGAGGATATTACTGTCTGTTCACAAGCAATCCAAACATGAAAAAGATGCGCGCACCACAACAGCTGACAGTCTAACGCTAAACTTTATTAGTATGCGGGGGCGATTATATTATGTCACTTTATATCAACCAATCCTTTTTGTCCTAGTTCGTGTTACGGAACGTGGTTGCCACATTTGTCAGTCCACGTTTACACCCTTCACAGCAACTCTTCGTTCGCAATGGAGCCAACAGAGAAAATACGTATAATAGTTGTTGGAGACTCGGGAGTTGTATGTGGTTTTTTTTTCCTCGTTATCATAAAGACTTGGATAAAACGTAGTCGATTTTTTTTGATTTGTTAATTTATACGTAAAAAAAAACAAAAAAAAAAGGGTAAAACGAGTCTTGTTCATATGCTCTGTCACAACGAACCACTGCGTAATCCGACTTGGACTATTGGTTGTTCTATCGAAATCAAGGTGAGTCATAATAAACGTAGAATGATTACATTTTTTTTATATACTTTACACCCAAGTCGCTATTTTATCCTCACACCACTTCTCCCACTTTTCCCAATTTCTATTTCTCCGCGAACGACATGCCATTTTCCTTTCAATCATGTTTTTCCCCTCTTCACCCTAGCTTTACACCCACACTCGTCTCCAGAAACCTTACTTTATTGAATTTATTGATATTAGTGGATCTTCTAAACACACGTCGTCTCGTAACATGTTCTATCATCAAGTAAACGGGATAATACTTGTTCACGATGTTAGTAATCGAAAATCATATTACAATCTGTGGAGGTGGATTGCAGAGATGCTACATTCAGAGGCGTACAAGGATAACGAAAAGTCTAGTGCGAGTGGTGGTATCAAAAAGAATGGTAAGTTTCGGATTTAAGGGGAACGGATGCGATATAAATTCTCATGAAATTGAAGCAAAAAAAAATGGACTAGTTTGTATGGGTTTAAACTCTTTCATCTAGCTATATAACATTAATATTTGCTCAATCGGTACAGAATACGACTTTGAGTTACAAATAGGAGAACGATCTGCCAATGTACCTATATTAGTCGTTGGGACAAAGGCTGACTTGGTCAAACAAGAACTTACAGGCCGACAGAGGCGATACAGTATTGTCGAGGAATACGGTGGAGAATGCGTAAATGTTGTAAGTTGAGCTTAACATACTGTAAAACTGGCACGTTGACTCTCCTTTTTAAATTTTCTGCTTTTCCACATATTTTAATCTATCGTCATCACTAACCGCCAGTCTATTCCATCAAACTCAAAACACGCTTATCCAAAAGTGTACTCTAGCTCCATCGCACTTTTTTCATGCGTCATTAGCGTCCGAAAAATTCGACGCGTTTTTTGATACGGTGATTGATAAGAAGTACCATTTTGTTTCCGATCATTCTATCTCTCCTTCGCTTGCCACGCATAATCCTTACACCTCGCCACCATTGACGTCAAGAGAGGAAGTGCGAAGAAGAGGATTGAGCATAGGAAATGGGACGGTAGGAGGTGGCGTGCCAGGGACACCGGTATTTGGGTCAATGAGCGGTGGAGGGAATGGCGGTGGTGTTAATGTTTCCAGGCTGGAAAAGGATTTGGGAAGTCCAAAAAAAAATACGTGGGGAAATGCGCTAAGGTAAACTACTTTACGTACATTGTCCGTTTATTAGTTCAAGTTTATTTTTTGGTATCCATATTGAATCGTTGCATTAACTATCAATTTTTTTCCCCTCCTAAAATGCTTGTTTAGCCCTAAACAAATCAGAAATGCGGGCATGTACACATCCCAAACACTCGCAGAAGACCCTCTTCCTTTACGCCCCATGTCCTCCCCATCTCCCTCCCCGGCAACTCTCCGACCACAATACGCGACTCCTTACAATCATTACCCACAGTCTCAATACGCCCACCCTAACCAGCCACTTCGCTCGGAAAGCATGTCACTCAGGACATCTTCATCTGCGTCTAGTCTGAGACAGTTATATAACAATACCAATAATCAACGACGTGGATCAACCGTTGCTGAAGTCGCTATACATCCATTGGGTAGTAATGGTGGAAATAGGCCTGGAACGTATTGGGTTGGTGCGGGGAATGGAAATGGGGGAAATGGTGGCGGTCGGTGAAAAAAGGTGGGAGAAGACTGTTGATATCGGTAAGAGTATGAAATTGCAGATGGGATGGCTTTAGACATTGTGGTTGGATCATTGTCGTTGTTGTTTTTTTGTATGATAAGTATTTTATTCTGCTGTATTGTAAAATTAATAGAGTTAGACGTAGGAAGGATAGATATGGAAGAGAGGCGATTGCGAAACCAAGACTTTGTACACAAAGAGCTTACATTAAATTAGTAATATGTGCAAATTACTTGAAAGTCTATTTTATCATAATTTTTACTACTTAAGGATTTCGGGTTGAATGCAAATAGAAAATAATATATGAAAAGGTAATTGTAAAACGGATAAAACACCATTTATAATGCGTGAACAAAGTAAAAAGTTTCATTAACAGTGTTGATACAACCCGTAGTTGCAAGGACAGTCTCTCCTATAACAATCTAAGATGGAATTTATAAAGACATTTGATAATAAATCGTCCTATTAGTGTGGGGACATGCTACATTACTCATTCATCAATTCACGGGGAGGGAAATAACGCCCAACCGACTGAGCTCACAATTGCGTTTATAGTAGCGTTTATGATTTCAGAATCAACCTTGCCATACCATATTGACATCGTCTGATGTTTCAGACACCAACACAAGTGAATCTGACAATATGTCATCCGGTTCATGTATTAAAGAAAAAATCTATGTATTTAGTTTTGGGGATTGTTTCATAATCATATTCACAAACAAGCCAACACACGCCAAACCACCAAACTATTCGCATTCAGTGTCCACCTCCCACTTTTTTTTTTACTTTTCTATCAATCTCGTTTTTGGCCTTTCTTCCGCTTGCCCTTTCCTTCCAACACAGATTCCTTTTCTTTATCAGTGACATCCTCTTTTTTCACATCTCCAATCGATTCCGCTCTCTTCCCGTACTTTACCAAAAGCCGATTCTCGATCCTATCCAATTCCCACTCGTGCGGCGTGAGTTGCAAATTCTCCTTTTCCGTCTGAAACAACTTGTTGAAATCTTGCGGTTGTCCTGTTTGCGTCACTCCCATGGTAGACATTGCGGCCATGTCCCGCATACCATCAGCGGAATTATCCTCGCCGAGGAGTAGAGTGTAGATGGGACGAAGACCAAAGAGGTTAAGGAAGTACCAGGATAGAGAGGAGACCCAGGTTACGTCCATATCGGGTGTTTCTACACCCCGTTGGAGCATGGTTTTGAAGCGAACCGTTAACGGAAATGGTAATTTTACTACAAGTCAAAAAATGTCAAGGTTGTGAGCAACAAGATCACAAAATGTGTGGGTCAATGAAGCTGATCAAGGTCTTCCCATTTGTCGTGACCATAATAACGAAACCATACTTTTCCCAACCCGCAAGACAAAAGTCCGATACTCACTCAACACAAACCCGGAAAAGAAGAAATTAATCCATCCCATGATGATAGTCTGTGGTATGATCATGGCCATGTTTTTCTTCATTCCTTCCATCATGATTTCCATTCCTTGCGGATCTGTCATTGGATTAACTGGCGCGTTTGTCTGCCCTGGGTTCTTCAAATACACGCCTCTCTCGTAAGCCTGCGTCAAGATTGTCTTTCGCGACGAAAACGCCGTCGGCGGAATGTTGTTTCCGTACGTGCGAAGAATCACGCCGCGTTGGAGAGCTTTGGTTTCACGAATAGCTTTGGAGGTGGGTTTCTTGGGTGAACCGGAAAGGAGAAGTGTTATTTGATGTCTAAGAATACCCACGAGAACCATTACAAGCACTATAGGAAATAGGACCCAATCGCGGATCGCTGTAAGAATGAAAGTGTGGGTAAAGAGTAGTAAAATGAGTTGGTGGGCGAATTAGTGAGAGCGAGTGAGTGAATGATAGAATGCTGGGACATAATTACCTGGATCGAGGTATAGTGCTTGGCTAACAAGAAATACATATAAAGGATATGAATCAGTGTAATGGAAAGAAAAAAAAATCACCAACAACGTAACTACACTTACCTCTCGGCCAGCGCAGGTTGCGACATGTCTTCAATTCTGGTTTCTTGATTCCAGCGAAACGCTAGTTCACAACAAATTGTCGACTTGTCGATTGAATGAATCCGATTGGATGGATTAGACAATAAAATAAAATGACTATGATCACATGTTTTTAAAAAGTTATCCCCTTTATTAGTTATCAATTTTCATTTTTTTTTTCCATTCGGCCTTTTTGTTGTAGAACATGTATTCCTGCGTCTTCTTCCTGAATTTGTCTTTCCAGTCGCTAATTTGGGTTTACGACAATCAATATTTTCGGCTACATCTTTATCAACTAAATCATAACCTTAAATAATTAAGTTTATCTTTTAGTATTTTTTTTTATAAAAACTGTCGATTTTT